CCAGCGCCAAGTCAGGACTGGGGGGAAAGGAGAAGGTGAGAGATATCGAGAGCGACAAAAAGGCCGAGCGTCAAAACACGTGAGCACGAACGCCGTGGCCTCACACGGCGCCGCAGCGCCGCTTCACGGCTGCACGCCGGGCCGCAGCAGACACTGCGCTATCCTGCCAGGGCTGCGCTTGGACTGGCGGGTCCAGGAAGTGGATGAGGAGGGTGGGGCGGGTCGGGGGCGGCCAAGAGGGGTGCGTCCAAAGGGGGGGTGCAAATCACGGCGGCATGTGCGCGGCCCAGGGGGGGGGGGGGGCAGGGACGTAATGGAGTAAGGAGAGGCGCCACGAGATCCGGGGAAACATCATGGCCCACGCCATGATATCCAACCCCCCCTAGCCATCACCCCCCTCTCTGCCGCCCCCGAGCGGGATCGGGATGAGGAGGAGGAGGAGGCGGAGGAGGAGGAGGAGAAGAAGGAGAAGGAAGAGGAGGAGGAGGGGGGGAGGAGGAGGAGGAGGAGGAGGAGGAGGAGGAGGAGGAGGAGGAGGAGGAGGAGGAGGAGGAGGAGGAGGAGGGGAGGAGGAGGCTGGGATCGGGAGTCGGGAGGCCGGCGAGTCGGGAGCCTGAGCCTGCCGAGCACCTGCCGGGCAGCCTCGGGGCCTCAGCTCGGCGGTGCTGGCAGACCGGGCCGCGCCGGGGCCGCCCAGGCGGGGCAAGCAGGCACGCCTCGGGGGCCCACTCGTGCGACGCACTGCCTCTCTCTCTCTCTCTCTCTCTCTCTCTCTCCTGTCATCGCCCTCCGACCTATTCTCTCGTCATCGTCACCATCACCACCAACACCACCACCACCACCACCACCACCACCACCACCACCATCACCACCATCACGACCATCATCATCGCGAAGGCACCCCGAAGATCAGCCCCAAAAAGGCTCGAAGAGGGCCGCAATAGCAATTGCCGAACTTCCCAATCGCCCTCATCCTCCCTCTCTCATCCCTCATCCTCCCTCTCTCATCCGTCTGCTCCTTCCTCCTTACCCTCATCCTCCTTACCCTCTCCTATACACCTCATCTCGTCGCCCTGCTCCTTATCATTATCCTAGTCCTCTTCCTCCTCATCCTACGTTCCTCCTCATCCGCCTCCTCCTTTTCCTCCTCCTCCTCCTCCAACGGCATCTCCTTCAGCTCCCATGCCCCTGAAATTGTCCATGTTCTGGATCAGGGCCAGCTAGGGCCAGCAGCAGCAACCTCCAACATGTCGAGGGGCTGGAGGCGGCGTCAGCCTTGTGAAGCAACCACGGCCATTTTGGCTCAAGCCAACTCGCTTTGCCAATTTGAATGACTGCGCACCCTCATTCAAATAGTGGGCTCCGGGAACCCTGAACACAAAAGCATTATCATATCTTGGGTAGCCATCTTTTGCGTCCGCCGCCTTCCGCCAGCCTTCCGCAAGCGGTAGCTTCGTTTCACTTCCGCCGCATTCCGCCGACCTTCCGCCGAGAAAGAGATGTCAACTTCTTGGACCCTCGAAGGCGAGGCCCTTTCTGAAACGCCTCAAATGGACTGCTCCGCAAATCCTGGGCACCCCGAGGTTGACCCTCTCTCGGCGGGGTCAAACTTTACGTCCGCTGAGCTTTTGTCGGTTTTCCACCAGCAAAGGTGCCCTCGTTCTACTTCCGCAGGCTTCCGAAGGGCACTGTATTCTGACGGCTTACGCCAAGGGCGAGATACCATCCCTTCAACTCCTAGAACACAGTTCCTAAAAGAGAATGACGATTCCCAGAATACAGTTCCTTTCCTGAAAAAAAGTACCGTCCCTTAGATTCCTAAAAGGCAATTCCTAAAGACAGTTCCATCCCTTCGATGCCCCAAACAACTGAGCGATAATAGCGATGCCGAAACCTGCCCCCAATCCTACGTTGCTCGCAAGCCGACTCTGCGACTGGGCCACCCTCGTGCGACAGTTGAACACGCTCCCTGTCTAACCACATATCAACGTTGAGCTCAGCCTCACTGGCCCGCGAGTAACTCTGCTGGATGTGAAGGGGAAAGAGCTGATTTTGGTTTCGCATAAGGGATCGATGTTCCCTCTCTGGACGACGCCCTTCCGCAGGATCACCGAGGGAGCGCTCGCCAAGTAGGTGGCGGACGACCTCCCCGACGCGATGGTGCGGGGCGGCGCTTCCAGGCAGCGGAGGCTCAAGCGGGGTCCGCATCAGCGGGACGGGAGCCCCACGGAGGCAAGGTGGGGGGGGCGTCGCGTCACTGTGGGTTAGCCACTCGGCTCCTCCCTCAGACGGCGGGTCGACCAGGATCGAGCTCGTCACGCAGGCGCACCACCACGGCCGCCGTGGCGTGCGGGTTTCGTAAAAGGTCGGCGGGAGAGCTGTCCACTTGCGCCTGGGCGGCGTGCCGGGGTCGAGCTAAACGGGTGTTTTGGCGACTTCGTGGGCCTTCTTCGTTTCGATGACCTTTTTGCAGCAAAAGCAGAACGAGGACAGACCGAGGGAGAGCGAGCACAAATCGAAAACGGAAAACACTGCTTGGACCGAGCCCTGCAGTGCGGTGCTGGGCCAGGGCCTGCGGCCTCGCAGGCCGGGAGGGCTGCCTGGTCAGGAGTCGACAACCCTTCGGCCCGGTGCGCGACGCGGACGTCAGGGTCCGGTTGCGGGCTGGCTCGAAGAGCGCAGGGTGTGCTCTAGCAGGCCTTGCAGTTGGCCACACAGGCGCGCACAATAAGTACTATTTCTTGCGATGATAAATCTACGGGCGCGTCCTTCGTCGACTCTGAGCTTCGCAAAGTGCCCCAGGGGTCTGCGGGCCCATCGGGAGGTCTCAGGAAGTATCGTGGGGCATCCTTTGGCAGGCCAGTCTCACATCTGGCATGCCCACCGCGACAACACGGCGCGCGGTGGCGGCGCCAGCCGTGGTTGCGGAGCGCGACGGTCTGGAATTCCGCAGAGCCGCTCGCCGAGTGCTTTCTCAAGGTGAAGGCTCCAGAGCCGCGGCTCGGGCTGCAGAGAAACCAGCCAGGGCGTCGGCTTCTGCCGCTGGGAGGCTACCCCGCCCAATTGCGCGGCCGCTGCGGAACGGGGGGCCCGGCCCCCCCTCCGGCGCCAACGGCAACGAAGCAAGGCAGGAGTGGCCCTGGACCTCTGACATCTGGAATCCCCGATCAAACTCGGTGGGCGATTTTACATGATCCAGGGCGACGTGACGGCCCGCTGACGCCGAACAATGCAGGACCTTCGCCAAGAAACTGGAAGCCTGGGATCTTCGCTCTCAAAATCGACTCTCGGCCCATGGAGGCCTGCAGACAGCCAAAGCATGAGCATCACAACCGCATGTCACTCGCGCCCCAAGCGCATCTAGTGAAAGTTCTGCGAATCAAGGAAGCTGGCCTGCTTTGAATCGTCTGAGGCCGCCACAGTCGGCCGTGCGCGCAGGCCAATCCGACTGGCCAGACTGCCAGGGCTGCTTTCAACAGCTCCAACCCCCACGGCCCGCCAGTCTGCACTGCGAGTAAAATAAAACACACGAGCGCCAGCAGCGGCGGGCACGGACAGCACACTTTGGCGCGGGCGCAGTGCATGTTGTTCACTGACTGAGACTGCGCCAACGCTCCGCCGAACGCTGGCGGCTCGACCGCTCGGGGCGACGATGAGGAGAAGGAGGGGGAGCTACCGAGCCGGACTTGTCTTCGCGCCCATAAGCCAACACGCTCAATATTACTGACTCGCCGGGCGCGGCGAGGTCGCGGCAGCGGGCGCGCAGCGCGGCCCCGAAGCGCCGCTGCCAGATTGACGGCCCACGCGCCGGCCGCGCGGCCGACGCGGGCGCGACGCGGGGCGCGGAAACGAGCGCGGCCACGAGGCCGTGAGCTGGGGCGCGCCGGGGCACACCAAGCCGCGGCGCCAGCGGGGCATGCGAGGTACCGGCGGCGCCGACGAGGGATCACCCACGAAGGCGCAACGACCGCCTTCGCGAGACACCTTGGCAGAGGAAGGGCGCAGGAATGCCTGCCAGGGCCGAGCGCAGCCACCAGGAGACGAAAGAGCGACGATCGCTTCGACGCCGCCAACCCAAGAGCTTTGCCCCAGATGCGGCAACAACCCGCAATGCGTCAGCGGGATGCTAGACGCGATCTGCGGTGGAAAGTCCCCCCTCGAAGTGAATCTGGGGCGGGCCGCCAGCTCGCGCGGGTAAATGTCGGGCACGAGGGCGGCCAGGTACAAATGCTTCTGTGATCTGTGCGCCGTGCAAGCTCGAAATCTGTTCAAGGGGCGCGCGCAGCCTCGGAGTCGCGCCATAGGCGCGCGCAACCGGGGACACATGTGAATCGCGCGCGGCTGGCCAACGGCGCCAAAAAGGAAGCGCGCGCGGGCAGAGACCCGCGCGCGCGGTGGCACGAGAGGCCTCGCTCATGAGTTTGCCGCGTCCGTCTGCCTCCCCCAGTAGGCCAGCGCAGCTCGTGGGGTAGAGCCCGCCACCCACCTCCAATGGGATAGTGCGGCTCTTGGGCACGAAGCCCTAACCCCGCCCCCAGTGCGCGTGCGCGGCCCCTGCAAGTCACCGATGCACGCATCGCGCATCGAGCGGGCCAATCCGAATCGGCAAGCTCGTTACGCCGCACTCGCGAACGCAATTCGCCGCGCTCGAGCGCCCCAGTGGCCCAATCCGAAAAGGCATGCCACTACGCATTCGCGAACGCAGCCGCCGATGCACGCATCCCACCTCCAGTGGGCCAGTGCGGATCGGCAAGCTCACTTCACCGCATTTGTGGGCGCAGTTCGCCAGATGCGAGCACCCACAAGGCCCGATGCGAAACGACATGTCACGACGTCGCACTCGCGAACGCAATTCGCTGGCCGCGCGCGTAGGACTCGTCCGTCATGGTGGTCTGCCAGAAAGGAGTCGGCGGTCTGCCAGAGCGGAGCCGACTCTTCGACCAGTCGGAGCAACGGCATGACCCTGTGGACGCCCGTCATGAGGAAGCGGGTGGAGAGGCTCACGAACTCCGCCTCCCTGGGGCCGTAGAGCGCGTAGATGGCGTCTGCGTTGCTGGCTCGAAGAAGCCGCCGCCCTCCAGCTTCGCCCGGATCACGAGGGCCAGCGCGCCGCCGACCGTGATGTAGCGCAGCTCGCCCTCAACGACGCGAGGGCAGATGCGCTGGTCCACTAGCGCGCCCATGGTCTCGTTGCCGCCCTCCAGGTACTTGGCCACGCCCTTAGAAGTCCAGGTGTCGGACCTGCCCGCGCGGCCCCCGGCGCCAGCTTCGAGGAACTCGGCCGCGGCGCGGCGCTCCGCCCTGCGCGCCAGTTGCACGACCCAAGCGTTGTCCACCACAGACGAGTTGGCGCTGAGCACGGCGCTCAGCTGCACCGCGTGCCCCCCCCCCCGGGTAGGAGGTGGCGCGGTGGTCGCAGAGCTCCATGCTCGACGCCTTCCGCATGGCAGCTGGGAGCGCGCCGCGGATGTAGGCCGAGGCCCCGTGGGCCATCAAGGCGCTCGGCGCCTGGTCGCACTCGTCGCAGTCCGAGTAGAGGAACGCGGCCGCCCCCCGCAGCCGGCGCCGTTCACGCGCGGCCGTGGGCTTCGGAATGTTTCGCTCCGCCGCGCCCGTCCTGGCAAAATTACTTAGCTTATGCCTGGCGCGCAGTGCTCCGAGCTCCGCGCGCATCCCCATGCGCGCGAGCTCGTGGCTTGGGCCTGCGGCCAATGGCGAGATGAGCTGCTCGGATGACCCTGGTCTCTCGAGGTGGTTCGCGAGCTTCTCCAGACAGTCGGGGAGGGTGGGGGCGATGATGTGGGTCGCAAAGATCGCCGCGCACCGGAACTGGCCCGCAGAGCCTGAGGCAATGCTCGCCTCCCCCCAGATCTCCGGGTCATTGGCCTTCCGCGCGGCCACCGCGGCCTGCGTGCCCGCTCCGAGCTTTGTCATGCCACCGGCGAGCTTGGCGTTGTTGGGATGGACTGGCGGGGGACCATGGCTGCCTTGATGGCCCGCTCCTCGCGCGGCCTGCCCCCGATGTGGAGCGACTCGGCTGCGTTGGTGCCCCTGGTGACCTGCTCCACGTCGGCGAGTCCATCGGTTTGGCGTAGGAGCAGACCAGCTCAATGTCGTTGAGCACGTACTTGTGCATGGTGCGGGCGATGGCTGGGCAGCGCGCGACCTTCTCAAAACTTTCCACCCGCGCGGCGACCTGGGCGCACTCCGCGTAGTCGGCGGCATCCACGGCCATCAGACAAGACTCGATCGCCTCTGGCACCTGGCTGCTGTCTCGCTGCCCCCTGCCGAGCTCGTCCAACGCGGCGCCCTCGTTGCAGCGGGTGGCAAAATCCACGGCGCGCTGGATGTCCTCGACGTTCGTCGTTGGCCTCTCCATGGGCTCGAAGTCCACGCTGCCCTTCTTGTGGATGACCATCGCGTCGTCGCAGCTGCCCAGGCGGCCGACGTAGTCCACGGCGAGTGTCCTGTCGGCCCTGCTCGACGCAACGACCAGGAGATTCTGCAAATTCCTGTTCTTGCTGACATAGGAGATGAGCAATGCCATTCTCTCCAGCAGCTCGATCAAATCGGCGGGGGGCTGCTGGGCTTCGATGAAAGCCGCTGCGGTGGCGGAGACCTCGTCCGCGCTGGTCGACCCTGGCTGCGCAATGCCCACGATCTGGTCGATGACTTGACGCCGCTTCTCGCCGGCCTCGTTGAGCGCCATCGCCATCGCCCAGCCAGCGGGGCTCTGGCGCTCAGCGGGTTCGCGCGCCCGCGGCCCGAAGAGTACGTTCACGTTGGTCACGTTCACAAGTCGCTAGTCACAGGAGCCCCTGGCGCGGGCGTGGTCCACGCGCGCGAGGAGGGGGTCGCGGCCCTCGAAGCACCCGCTGGCCATCGCCGAGTGGTGTAACGCGTTCTTCTCGCGGAAGGCCTCCAGGCCCTGGCTGGCGTCGCCGTCGACCATCGCGACGCCGCGGTCGAGGCCGCCCCCCGCGACCTGCGCCTCGAGCCAGTCAGCAGCATACGGGGGCGGCCAAACTCTGCCACGAGCGGCTCGGAAGGACATGCGTTCAAGACGTCCTGCAGCAAGTTCTTGATGATATCTGCGGAGCCGCCCATGTCAACCAGCACCCCGACCCCAAAGGGGCAGTTCGCCGGGTTGACCTCGACGACACGACGCGGAACTCGATGTGCTTCGCGAGGGAGTTCTCGCGCAAACACTCCGTCAGCGGGCGGGGTTGAGCAGTTTGAAATTCCAGAGGAACTCGTCCACCACCAAACGGTCGTAGGAGGTGTTCTCGCGGCAAGCGAGTTCGATCTCTTGCGCGTTGCTGCGCCCGCTGGCTGCCTGGGCGCAGTTGAAGTCGAACTCCGGTTCGGTGCTCGGGCTCAAGATGGCTCCGAAGAAATAAATGGCGCCTTCGCTGGAGCCGAAACCTCCGCCCCGGACCATCTGATCGCTGTACTTGATGCTCCCGGGGGTGACCAGTCTGCAAGTTCTGCAGTTTCGGTGGGGGCCAGCACCCGGCCGAGTGCTGATCCCCTAACAAAGCGCCGCGGATCCGCCTGAGAGGCGCGATCAGGACAAGCGCCAGCAGCCGCGGGAGGCGCTTGGCGACGCAGAGGTTCCTGGCCGCCTTGCACGCCTGTTTCTCGTATACCCTGTCGCCAAATTGAAGGAAGTTGGCTGCGTTGGCGCCGCTGATGACCTCCTCCACGTCGGCGACGCGGTCGGTCTTTGCGTGAGAGTGGCCCAGCTCAGCATCGATGGGCACGTCCTCGAGCTTGGCGCGGGCGATGACCAAGCAGCGCGCCAGCTCCTCAATATTCTACTCTCGCGCGGCGGCCTGGATGACATCCGCGCAGTCGGCGGCGTCCTCGGCCCTCGGGTGAGACTTGATCGCCTCTGGCACCTGGCTGCTGTCCGGCTGCGCCCTGCCGAGCTCGTGCCCCGCGGCGCTATCGTTGCAGCAGGCGGCAATCTCTATGGCGCGATGGGTGTCCTCGACGTTGGTCGGGAGCGTCTCCATGGGCTCGGAGCACATGTTGCAGTTCCTGCGCATGACGACCGAACCCTCGGAGAGGTTGAACTGCTCCAGTGCGATCGCGGCGCTGTCTGGGCAATCGGGCGGTTGGTGCAGCCCGTGACGCGCGACTTGCCGGCCTCGACAGCAAGACCAGGAGGCTCTGCCAGCTCCTGTTTTCGCTGAAACCGGAGATGTGCAGGATACTTTCCTCCAGCAGCTCGATTAACTCGGCGGGACGCTGGGCCTCCATGAAGGCCTCCACGGTGACGGAGACCTCGTCCACATTCGTCGGCTCTGACAGCGCCATGCCCAAAATGGTCGGTGACGTGATGACGCTACTCGCTGGTCTCGTTGCGCAACATCGCCCAGGAGGTTGGGGCGCCGGCGCTCCATGGGGCAACGCGCCTGCAGCCTGACGAGACTGCTTTTGTTGGCCACGCTCACGAACTGCTCGTCGCAGGAGGCCCAAGCGCGCTTGTAGTCCGCGTGCGGTAGGCGGGGGTCGCGGAACCCGCCGCACTAGCCGACGCTCGCCGAGTCCTAGAACGCGCTCGTCTTCAGCAAGGTCTCCAAGCCCCGGTTGGCGTCGCTGTGAGCCATCGCGACGCCGTTGTGGATGTACGGGTCCTGGTTGCCGTTTGCGACCTGCGCCTCGAGCACGGGCTGCAGCATGCGGAGGCAGTTGCCGTTCTCCACCTCTGTCACCAGCGGCTCGATGGGGCAGGCGTCCTGGACGCCCTGCAGCAGGTTCTCCATGGAATCCGCGGAGCAGTCCATGTTCATCAGCGTCCCGACCACGAGGGGGCAGTGCGTCGAGTCAACCCTGACGCCGTCGACCCCGATGCACTTCATGAAGGAGTTCCTCTACAGATGCTCCGTCGGCTCGGTCACGCAGCCGTGAGGGTCGCAGACGTGGGTCATCGGGCGGGGGTCACGCAGCTTGATCTCCCGCATGTCGGCAAACGCTTCATGTTGGCGCACTTGCTGGCTGCCTGGATGTACTTGACGTGGTTCTCTGACTCGGTGGCCGAGCTCAGACAGGCCCCCCGGAATTAGAGGACGTCATCGCCGGAGTCGACCCCCCCTCCGAACATATCCACGATCATGACCGCGACCATTAGAGGCCTGGTAGATGGGGTCCGAGTAGATGGGGTCGAAAGATCACGCCGTATCGCCAATGCATCGCCGATGTGTCGGCGATGCATCGGCGATGCATCGGCGACGTCGGCGATGCATCGGCGACGTCGGCATGGGGAAACACGGTCTCCACGTCGTGCCGCATCGTCGATGCATCGGCGATGCGGCACGATCATCCGACCCCACCTGCTCCGACCCCATCAGGAAGGCCCAGAGACCATCTGGTCGTGGCACTCGACAGCCACTGGGACGATGGTCGCGCGAGCTCGCCCAGGCGTGGTGTCGCCAGAGGGCCTCAAGAGGCGGTGTGCCTCCTCCTCCTCCTTCTCCTCCTCGTCGTCGTCCTCCGCCTCCTCCTCCTCCTCCTCCTCCTCCTCCTCCTCCTCCTCCTCCTCCTCCTCCTCCTCCCCTCGCCCCCCCACGGCGCTTTTGGGGTGCGCTTGCACGCTCCTGGCCAAGCTCTGCCAGTGGTGTCGCGCGAGCTCGCCCAGGCGTTCCGGGCACGCCCCCGGCGGCAGGCGGGCGAAAAGCCGAGCCCCATGCGGTGATCCGGTGCGCGTGCGCCCGGAGCCGCTCGAGGCCCGCAGGGCCCCGAGGGTGCTCCACAGGGCGTGCAGCGGAGGAGGGAGGAGGAGGAGGAGGAGGAGGAGGAGGAGGAGGAGGAGGAGGAGGAGGAGGAGGAGGGCCAGTCCACGAGAAGCCGCCCACGAGAAGCCCAACCCTGAAATCCCAGGACGTCCCTCGATTTTTGGCGCGGGGGCGTCGCGCTCTCCGCGGCAGAAAACCGTCGAAGCCCAAGGAGAGCCCCGGGCACCCTGGGGGCCAGCAGGGTGCTTTTCTCGGCAGGGGTCTCCCAGTGTGCTGCAGCATGGCCTCGGCGACCTTCGGCGCTTGCTGCAGGTTCATCTTTTTTTTAATGCTTGAGGCGATCCACAAGGGTTACAACTACATTGCCGACAGCTGCTGGCCCAGCTCCGGGCGGACAAATCCTGCCCCCCCCAGCGGACAACAAAAGCACAAAGCACAACAAAAGCACAAGCGCTTGCTGCAGGTTCATGGTCAGAAGCTGCGCCTGCAGCTGGGCCTGCTCTGGCCTGTTAGCCTTCAGCGCCTCGAGGAGGAAGGAGGCGGTCTGCTGGAGCTTGCCTTGGTCCGTGGAGATCTTCACCACCTGGTTGATGTCGATGACAGGCTGCCCGTCGATCACTGGTGCCAGGGTGCCCAGCATGTCCGCCATCACAGCTGCGCCAGAGGGGGCACGAGGCGCGACGGGAGGGTGGCCCAGACACAGGGGGGCCCGGGGCGCGGGGGAGCCGCGGCGCGGCCAACTGCGCCTGGGCGCCCCTCTTGAAAACATATCCGCTGTGCTCTCCTCCTCCTCTCTCCTCCTTCCTTCCTGGACGGAGGCACCTACAGTTGGGTCTGATTGAAGAGGACACCCGAGAGGGCACAAGACTCTTCCGAGGGCAATCCTCAATATGGGCATGAAGAGGACGTGAGACGCGATAGGCAGAACACAAAGGTGCCCTCGGTGTTGCAGGTTCGACCTGCCGACTGTAACGAAAGCCTTGTGAGACGCCGACGGGCTCGCTGCCACATTCATTCCCTCCCCCCGGTCGTCATCATGGGTTGACCCTGGGCGACCGGAGAGCGTGAGCGCGGAGAGCGTGAGCGCCTTCGAAAACGGAGGTCCCCGAGCTGTGCGCGTGGGTTGCGCGCCAGACTGATCTTCCTCCGTCCTCCTCCCCCTCCACCCAGATACCCGACATCGTGCTGCTTCACAACCGTGGACCCCTGGAGGTATCAACCCCTACCCCGGGACATGCTCTTCAGCCCGAGCCTTCTTTCGACGGTCCACGGGCCAGCAACAAGAATGGTGAACACAATCCCCAAACATCCGACGACGAGACTGTTTCAGCGCGCGGCCCCAGAGATCCCGACCAGTGACCTTGGGGTAGCTTCCGCCCAAGATCCGTTTCTGATGGTCCCAGGGCCCGATGACGGGCCCCGTAAAACGAAATCGAGATTCGTCCTGTCGGGGATATCCGACATCTCCGACGATCTCTGCCAGTGTACGATGTCTCCGACGAGCTCTCTCGATCTCTGATGTATGATCCCAGCCTCTGTCGGAGACCTCGGCGATCTCTCCCGAGTAGTCCCAGCCCCGCAGGCGGGGATTCCAAGACAGAGATCGTCGAAGCTCTGGGCTCCGAAGCCGTGCCATCCCCGGGACTTCGCCCTCCTCGCCTCGCGGTGCCCCGAGCACCGGGGGCGTCCAAGAGGGGGGGGCGTTCCGGGAGAGGGGCTCGCAGATCACAGCCCGAGGAATGTGCGCGGACCAGGAGAGGGGAACAATTATACCATTACAATTAGCAGCACTGCTCATCTCTCAGGCACCGTTGGGAGCAGCGCGCATGAAACTGTCTCACGCAGGCTGGCGACGTTGCATCAATCTGCTAGGCCATGCATGCTCGACACGCCGGACGGGCCTCCCTCTCACCCGTCTGGTGCCAAGGTGCCCTGTCTCTCCGTCCCTGGACCAGGAATCGCATTGAAGAGAAAAGTGGGGCCGTGAATTCTGGGCAGATGTCATAGCCCTGGCCATGATACTAGGAGAGCTCCAAACGATACACCACCTGGCTCTCCTGGCCCAGACCTGGAGGTCTCACCAGTCCAGGGCCCAGGATGGACATGGCCGGGGCTGGTGGTGGTGTCTTGTTGGCGCCCCTCCGAGATACCCCCGAAGGCAGCGACTGCCCCCCCCCCACCCACCCGGCCCGGCGACTGCGCGGCCTGCGCCACCCCGCTCAGGCCCTCTTGGCCGCGGCGTGGCCGTGCCACAGCGGTCCGCGCGCCTGGCCGCCGCACCCCCCTCCCCAGGAAGAGGATGATGATGAGGAGGAGGAAGAGGAGGAGGAGGAGGAGGAGGAGGAGGAGGAGGCAGTCGCCCACCCTCTGCGCGGTCCTGCAGCAAGGCGCCTTTTTGATCTGCGGCGAGCTTGGTCCAGCAGGCGGTCGGCTTACGGCGTCACGCACTCAGGGAGCCGGAAGGCAGGAGCGAAGGGGGGGGGGCAAAACGGCCCGAGCTCCTTCAGGGCGTGAAGCTCCTCCGGGTGTGCTGGAGCCAGACTCAAGTATTACAGCAGGCATGTTCGGTGACAACTCTGTCTAGAAGCGAAAAAGTCGACGGGCACATTCAGGTGAGTCATTGTGGAAGCTCCTTCCCACATATACCGCCTCGGTTTAGTAGCCTTTCGTGGCCTTTAGCGGCCTTTAATATGTTACCGGCTGTCTGAATGGCTTTTAACCGTCTTTTCTCAGCCGCCAGTGAGCTTTAGCGGTATCTAGCCGCCTTCCGTGGCCTTCTGCGGTCTTTAGAACCTCCGCAATAATGCAAAGGAGTGTAGCATGTATATACCTATTTCTATGTGTGGTTTTATGAACTTTCAAAACAGACCCACTTAAGTACAGTCAACCCGTATACCAAGGATGCGCGATAATGATGCAATGGCCTTGGAAGGCCATGTCGACACTTTGCGGGCGGGGCGCGGCCAACCAAAGCGACCAAGGATTGGCCGACAGGGATGGAATCGAGGGTAGACTTGGAAAGTGGCTCCTCTTTCCTATGCGTCGCTCAGCAACTCCGGGCGTTGTACGGGGTGCCTCAGGAAGCCCCCTTTTGGCGGCGGTGTGGCCGTGCAACGGCGGGCCGCGCGCCTGGTCGCCGCCGAACCCCGGGTGCAGTCGCACACCCTCTGCGCTTCACCGTAAAGCGCCTTTCTACTCGCCGCGATACAGTCAACCTGTATAATAAGGACGCGCGCTGAGGATGCAAGGGCCCTGGAGGGCCATGTCGACCACACAACGACAACCACGATGAAGATCACGACGACTATGACGACGATCACGATGATGACGAATAATACGACGACTACGACAGTCACGACGACGATCACAACGACGACCACACGCCAACTACGACGACGACGACTATCATTACGACCAAGACGAATACGACGAACACGACGATTACGACGACGGCGGTTACGACAGTCACAACAACGATCACCACGACCACACGACGACCACGACGACGATTCTGACGACTACGCCCTCCCTCCTCTTCCTCCTCCTCCGCGTGATACCACTGCTGCTGCTACTGCCGTTCCC